TTTTTTATAATTATTATTTTTTCTGCCCAAAATATTGAATATCAATGCTAAAGATAACAGATGGTTTTATCAGCATGCATTCCAACAATTTAACATAGATATCTCGGTAATTCCTTGAAATGTTTACTTTACAGTATCACATAAGAAAGGAGCGAGATATGCTGCAAAAGCTCAGATCCAGCTCTATCAAACTCTGCTAGACCTTGTACAAGATATATGATAATATGCATTAGGGGCAACATCTGTTGATATTGTCAAAGATTAAAGAAGACAAAGAGCTAAGCATTTTGAACAATCTGAAAAGGTTGTCGCCAGCTCTATCAAACTATTTGACCCTTTTTAATAATCTACTTGGGAGCTATATCTTCTGAACATTGCAAAAATTAACGTGACAAGAATCTAACGTGTATTTTAAGCTTGTGGCAAATTTGGCTTGAAGTTTTCCAATGTGAATTTACATGTATGGTAATTGCAACTGGTTTTGATTCTCAGGTTCATTGTAAGAACAGTTTATTGTACTATCTGGAATTGGATATAGTACGGACATATTCCTAAACTAAGAATTTCATGAAAAGTCTAAATTACCTCAATATGTCTAGCATCAGTTGCTGGCCGCTGAGTACCATCAGGTATAAAGTTTAAGTTGCCACCATGTTTCTGCAATTGCAAAGGTGAAGCATTTACACATGGCCATATTCCTAAACTAAGAATTTCACGAATATTCTAAATTACCTCAGTATATCTAGCATCACTTGCTGGCCGCTGAGTACTATCAGGTTTAAAGTTTAAGTTGCAACCATGTTTTTGCAATAGTAAAGGTGAAACATTTCTCAAGTTTTTCACCTCCATGGCCATTCGAGAACTATAGTCTTTCAATTGTGCTACTTCAGATTCTTTAGACTCCAATGCTGATTTTAATTTAGATATCTGCATATGAAGCATCACGCATGATTTTCTGATATTTAAAATATATGCATTGAATTGCAACAAGTAGAAATAATTAAAGACCTCATCTTTCAAGTCTCTAACTTCACCAGTTTCCTTATTAGCACGAGCTGCTCCAAGCTCAATCGAGGATACGCGTTCTGCGAACTTGAGTGTGCTTATTGTTTCTCCGAAAGAATTGATTTCAGGGTTTATATGTACAAACATCAAAGTCTTAGCTTGCCCACCTGCAGCATAGGTCGTATTAGACAAGATGGAACCAACAGTTTTATGATAACCCACTTCGCACTTTAAGACAATGTTTATAATAAAGGTCCCTTGTTGTACAACATAACAAGAGAGCAATAGTATCAAAAGAAGTAATAAAAACATTGAACACATTTCATACCTAAAGCATCTTGTAGGACTTGAGTAAGTTTACTGTTTCTGTATGGAATGTGGGAACTCTTTTGTGCAAGTGCAAAAATGACGTCTCCAAGAGCAGAGAGTGACCGATTTATATGTTGGGCTTCCTTCAGTCTTTCTCCCGTAGCTTCGGACTTATCTACTCTCTCGCTTCCAGCAAGATCGACTAGATGAAGACAACCTCTTACAATAGATCCAGAGACCAGTTCTTTACCTTGGACATGAATTGTCAAAACACTGAAAGAAATAGTTAGAAAAAGCTAAAGGAAATGAACTATTAAGAGTAGAACACAAAGGAAGTAAACAAATTGGAAGCTATGCTAAGTTAACTTTTGGACCTGAGCTTCAAATTTGTTAAGTCTCAAAATTACAAGATCGTATTTTAAAACATTCTAATAGCATTCTTCAACTCAGTAGAAAGGAAATGAACTATAAAAGTACCTATGAGATCGGCTGCTACGTTCATTTAAGGCAGTAGCACCAACAGCACGATTTCCTTGGCCAACTTTCATTAATTCAAGTACATCTTCAGTACAATTTACTGAAACCAAGCTTGCATCTGGAATATTGAGGCCATTCGGTTGAGAAATATTCATTATTTGTAGCGTGGGAAAGGTTAAGAAATCCCAAAATCAAACTAAGAGTAGGCCTATCCTATATACCAAGTAATGCACAGAACCAAGATTAGAACTAAGACCAAACATGAAGCAAAAGGAAGCATGTCCTATTTCTGAGACCAATCAATAAAATATATCTTGTTAATTAACCATAACTGTACTTGAAAAGGATATCTTCTGTTAGAGCCATCAGCCACCAAAAGATCTCTCACTTGTTCATTGTAAATTTCAATCATCTGAACGCTGATATCATACGTCAACACACTTGTCCTTGACTTCGATATGTTGAATAGATCGTTCAGAGCTCGATAGTTAACACCCCATGTTTCCTCTGTTTTTATGTCAGGTCCACTCTAGAAATTGAAGACTG